ATGTTCACGAGGCCACCCCACGGTAGATGTGCCCGAAACCTGACACTTCTGAGAGACGTGGAAGAGAAGCAGAGATGCAGAGGCAAGGGGACACAATGTGAGAATAACAGAAGCACGTGTGAGAATCACCAAGGAAGCTCAGACGCTGGGGTAACGACAAGGGCCATCCCCCAGAGCACAAAGAGGGAGCCAGGGTCTGAGCTTGGACTTTTGAGCTGGGAGATACTATATTTCCATTCCCCGCAATGGAGCTGGAAGCACCGTGATGACATTAAAACACCGCCTCCCGAAGAGGTGATCCCATCCCCCTGCACCTGCATCCACAGAGCCCGTGACTATGTGCAGGTACGTGGGAAGGCGGCTTTGCTGGTGACGGTGTCCAAGTTGGAGAGCTATCCTGTCTGCCTCGATCAGACCTATCCAATCTCCTGTCTTGAAAAGCCGAGGCTTTCCCTGCTGCAGTCAGAGAGGAAACAGAGGCGAGGAGAAGCAGTGATTTGAAATATGAGAGGTGTTCGACCACCACTGTGGGCATGGAAGATGGTCGAGGGAGCCAAGTACCCAGGAAGCAGCAGCACGAGGAAGCCGGGACAGATTCTGAGCTGACAGCCAGCAAGGGAACAGGACCTTGGTCCTCAGGCCTCCAGTTGCAAGGCTCTGAAACCTGGCAACAGCCTGCGTGAGCAGGACAAGACTTCAGTGCAGAATCTGGAGACAGGCACGCAGCTGGGCCACCCCTGACGTCAGCCCACGAGGTGTGTGCAGAACTTTGGACCCACACAAATCTAGCCTGGTGAATCTGCATGTTCCAAGTTTCTGCAACACCAACAGCATATACTAACATGGACTGCCCTGGTGGCCTAGTGCATAACTTTGGCTGCTAACTGCAAGGTCGTCAGTTCAAGTCCACCAGTGCTCACTGGGGAAAGAATGATAAGCGGACCCCTCTGGTATCACAGCCTCAGAAACCCAACGGAGGGCAGGAGCGTTGGTTTCTGGATTTAGTACAACCCAAGTTATTCTTTTCCCCCGTTTTTTAAAGATATAGGCAGACTCTATAGGGAGTTGTACTGCTAACGTGCAAATCCACCAGCAGTTCAGCAGGGAGAAGGCTGGGCAGTGTCCTCCCGAGTGATTTATGGCCCCAGAAACTCAGTGGCGGCTCAGCTGTGAGTGAGGGCTGACTTGACAATGGGTTTCAGTCTGAGTCTTAAAGGCACAGGCAGGTAGGTGTAACCGGCAGCCAGGAACCTAGGAGGCACAGACAGGCTTTTCTCAAGGTGGTGGCTGTGTGTCCATGAGGACAGAGGCTGCTAGGAGCTACCAATGGCTTAATGATAAGAAAATCAGGCAGGCTGCTTTGTGGACAGTAATAAAATGTTCCAACTTACACAACTCCCACCCGTGGTACCAGCTGTCAGGAGAACGAGGACACGTGGAACATTGGGAAAGTCAGCTATCGGCACCTCTCCAAAGTCCTGAAGAGCAATGATGTCATCTTAAGGAAGACTGTGTAGGGAGCTCTAGTGGCCTGGTGGCAAGAAGCTGCACTGCAATCCCAGAGGCATGTGGTTCGAATCCTCTAGATGCTCTGCTAGAGAAGGAGGGCCAATTTCCTCCTGTACCAGTCAGATCTGATTTGATGGTATGCACACAAAAGGGGAGGGGAGGGCGGAAGAAGACAGTGTGTCTGACCCAAGTCATGGTCTTTTCAGTCACTTGCTAGGCATCTGAGAGCTGGACAAAGAAAAAGGATGATGGAGGAAGAATCAATGCCTTTGTGTTGTGGTGTTGGAGAAGAGCACTGGATATCCTGTGACCATCAAAAGAATAGGTATGTTTGGAGAAGGTACAGCAGCGTGCTCCCTGGAGGCAAGGCTGGGGAAGTCTCGTCTCACTGAATCACGTTAGGAGAGGCTATTTCCTGGAGAGGGACATCACGCCTGGAAAGGTGGAGGGTCAGGGAGAGAGAGGAAGATCCCTGGGCAAGGCAGATTAATATAGTGACAGCGGCAGTAGGCTCAAGTGTGTGACAGATGATGAGGATGGTGTAGGCCAGGTCAGAGATCAGGTCTGTGCTCACAGGGCTGGACATGACTCGACGGCATCTAACAACAAGCAGCACACAGCCTGATTGTGACTCACGGGCGCCCTAGGCCAGAGCAGACCCGCCCCCAGGGTCTCTCCGGCCGTCATCTCTACAGAAGCAGCCACCAGTGTTGTCCTCCCACAAGTGCCTGGTGGCTTTCCGTTAGCAGTCACGCTCTAACCACAGCGCCACCAGAGCTCCTCCAAAGACAGCCTCAAAGGCCACAATCAGCTGAACTGCACATGGGATATGCAAAAGTTCTGTGTCTTTCCCTCAGAAGAAAAGAAAAAGACAAGACTTGCATTCCAGGGGGTAAAAAAACCCCTACCACTCAAAAACCCAAAATTCAAACCAAAACCTCCCCAACAGGATCACAGGGTTTAATATGATTTAACCATCAGGTTTCACATCATTATCATAAAAAGACAAAACAAAAAACTTTTTATAAAGAATCTGCCTTTTAAACCCTAAGACAGATTTCTCCCTCTAATTGACTCACTGAAAACATGTAATAAGAACTTGAGACTGTTTCTTAAAGACAGAGTGTGCGCTGTAAAATTGCTACAAGGTACAGACACCAATAAAGCAGAAGAGGGGTCCTCGGCCTCCTTGCATCCTCTGTGTGATGTTGGTTTAGCAAACATTGCTTGCACAGTCTCCGAGCCCGGCGATGTCCTTGGCTCAAGGAAGACAAAATAACCAAATGCACCTAAGAGGGAGAGTGCTAGGGAAACGGCGAGGGAAGCGTGGGGGGCCTTATAACAAAACTCGTGCAACCAGCCTGGGAAGGAGGCGTTTCATCCTCCTGCAGGAGGCTTCTGAGATGGGACAGAAGGTACCAGCAGGTTCTATAGACCAAACAAAACATGGACAGCGGTCAACTTCCACCAAGCATGTATGAGCGTTACCTTCAAGGAGAACATATGGAAAAACATGTGAGTCCGAAGACTCTGTGTAGGCAAGGCCCAACAAAGTCAGAAAGCTACAAGCGGGTTGAGTTTCTCTAGACGAGATTGTTAGAAAACATTTGGCAAACATTAGGCCAAGCTGGCCGAAAGAACACTTTCAGAATGTTTAAAAAAAAAAAAAAAAGGCAAATAAGCACACATTTTAGAAAACGCTCAGGAAAATGAAGCATTGCATCTGAAAATATCCATTTCCTTCTCTTTCCCAACTCAGCCTCTGAATCTAAAGAGTAGTAAATTTGAGGAGCCTGGACACTAAGAATCAGCAAGCAACATTTGCCCAAAGAGAAAAGGCAGAAGGCCAGGAAGGGGCCGGACAAAAGGATTACGGGAAATGAGACTCACAGAGATGAAATGGGTAGAGTATAATTACACTGTAGATTTTATTAACTGATGTTAGAAAACAAAATGTGTACAAATGGTTGAACAGAAAACCAATTCGTTTGGCAAAGTTTCATTCAAATCACAATTTGGGGGGGGAAAGGAGCTGTTGGACAATTTGAGTAGTTCACTTGTTAACTAAAAGGTTGAGGGTTCACGTCTACCCAGAGGTACCTCGGAAGAAAGGCCTGGCAACCTTCCTCAAAACACTGAGCCCATGAAAACCCTATGCAGCAAAGTTTAGCTCTTATACACGCGGGGTCATTGTTAATGGAATCAACAGCAAATGACTTTAAATTACCATTTTCCACAAACCGAATAATAGTTGGCAGAAAATTTGTTCTTGACTGCTCTCTTGTGGATACTTTCCCCACTTGACTCAAAATAGTAAATTGGAATCCTCCAAATTAAAAAAAAAAAATCCCCCCCAAACCTTTTACAATCAAGTGGCCCCCAGCATGGGATTTCAGGGACAGAAAGAGAGAATTCATTAAAAATGGATGGAGGAGGGGAAGATAAAATAACAAAAGCAAAATGACCTGGTCCACTGAACTGATTCCAGCTCCTAGTGACCCTGTAAGACACAGCAGAACTGCCTCATTAAGATTTCCAAGGCTGAAATCTTTGTGAAACAAGACTGCCCCATTTTTCTTCTGCAATGGTGGGGTTCAAACCACTGACCTCTCAGTTTGCAGCCAACTACTTACACCACTAAAGGGTATGCTTGCCTGCAAGTCAACATCTGTGGAAGTCAAACGATTCCACAAAATTCCTTTGTGTAAGTACTCAAGAGCAACGGTGTCTCTCTGGAGACTAAGGTACGCTTGATACAGGCCATGGTCTTTGCAATCACTTGTTATGCATCAGAGAGTTGGACAATGACTAGGGAGGATAGAAGGAGAATTGATGCCTTTGAGCTGTGGTGCTGGAGAAGAGTATTGAATGTACCATGGACTGCCAAGAAAAGAAACAGATTCATCCTGCTCAGGGTTAAACTGGGATTCTGGGGCTTCGTCTGACATACTTTGGACATGTTATAAGGAGGGACAGGTCCTTGGAGAGGGACATTATACTTGGGAGGGTAGAGGGATGGCGCAAGAGGGGAAGACCCTCTATGAGGTGGATTGATTCAGCGACTGGAGTAATCGGGATGGGTGTGTCAGAGACAGTGAGGTTGGCACAGGAGAGAGTGGGGTTTAGGGCTGTTGTACATAGGGTCGCAATGAGTCACAAACGACTCGACGGCACATAACAACAACAACAGAGCACAACAGATGCATTACAAGGAGAGGTCAAATCACTGCTTGTAGACCTGACCCTTCCATGCAAAGGAATCCCCTTCTGTAAAATCAACGTAATAAACCACCACAAGTAGATTTACTGATGCAACATCCTAACTTGACAAAACATCTGAACGCACAGTCTGAACTCTTAGTAATTAGGGGCGGCCCAACGGCAGGACATCATTTTCGGAAACAGAAGCGCTCACTCAGTCACTCACTCACTCACTCACCCACTCACACATGTGCCAGGGGCCTGCTCAGGGCCCGAGAGGTGGAACTCACATAGATCTGGTCCCTCTTGTATCGCTGGAAGAGGTTATACATGATGGACCCTCCATGGAGCTCGCTCAAGGTCGCCATGTCGTCCACGCCCTCCTCATTCATGGGGTGCATGGTGGTCACCTTCTGGGGTGTGATTGTGTTCTGCTTGTAAGTGAATACCTGAAAGGGAAGGCATTCGAGAACTGAGTCATCAGCAGTATGCTGTTTTATTAGCAGTTTCCCAAACTCACCCACCATCCAATCTCAGCAGAAAGATCCCATAAGGAAACCAGAGTGTAAACAGATTTTATTGGCACTTATGTGGTGTCACTTGGCCATTTTCCCCAAAGGAATCCATTATAACTACGAGATGTTCCTAAAAGACGTATGAGCTCAAGCACTGACTGTCTCAGAATTCACAACACATTGGCGTTCCCATTGGCCTCTTATGTTTCTTTCATCAGTATAAACAAGTAACAGCTAAGAAATTGGCTCAAGTTTTTAGAAAGTGATCCATCCAGCCTCCCTCTGTAATGCTTCTGGCTGGGGCTTTGATGTCTTTCAAAGCTTCCCGATCAAGTTCTTCCATTTAAATATTGTATAAATGTACCATATTCTACACTGACTTTCTCAAGTACAGAGATACGTTGGGAGGGCTGGAAACTGCCTTGACCAATAAATAGCCCTCTCCACAAGACAGAGCTCTCAAGTGATCCTTTTGCAAGAAGGGTTGCCCATAAATTGGAAATAAAACTGCTTTTCTTGTTTGTTACCCCACCTGTCTTCCTCAGAGCCCTGAATCTGAGCTGGAGTGCTGCGTACCTTCCACAGCAAGAGGAAGGAACGAGGTGGATTTTGGGGAGTCTTGATTATGGAACTTAACATCAATTAGCCACACTCACTGCTTTCTGATCTCAGCTGACTGGGTATAGGACTAACCATTTCAAATTAAGCTCCTCCTGTTAAGAGTTTGACCGGTTTCATGTATACAATCTCGTCACCATCACTGATTCAACTGTTGTTGTTGTGCTGTTGTGTATTGTTGAGTTGGAACTGATCCACAGATGATCCTCAAGTCAGTTTTTTAAAGGCAGTAGTAAATCACACAGAAGAGATTGCCCATTTTTGCAGCAAGCAGCTGGTGGATTTGAACCACATGCCTTTGGGATTGCAGTGTTGCTTGTTAACACTAGGCCGCCAAACCTCCCTTGTAGAAGGTATGCTATTGTTAGGGCCATTTTGGTGCTTGTATTACCACCATGTTTAGAGTCAATAACATATAGTCACTAACTAAGATGTAGAAAGCCAACAACCAAATTAACATTGGAAGAAAGGTTATCTTTACTCACACACATCAACAACTTTCTAGAATGGTATTTGCAGAAATTTTGGGTGACTTCAATTTTAAGTATCTGCCAGCTGCCTATAGGGGCAGTAAATGCTGGCAGGCCCTGGTAATGTACACTTGACTTGTAGACATCATGTCATGAACATCTATCCTCATGTTAAAACTACCAGTGAACCAACCTTAACTTGTAACAAATTCTTCATCACCATCACCTTCACTTCCTGTATGAGCAACTTTAAAGTCCTGAGAAAGTTTTGATCCTGTTATAACATCCAAACCCCAAATAAATCACAGGGCTGTTGAGTCAGTAATTGTTACCACCCTCGGTCCTACAGGACAGGGCAGAACTGTCCCATAATGTTTCCAAGGCTGTGAATCTTGACAGAAGCCGCCCACCACATCCATCTCCTGGAGGGGAGTGTTGAGTTAGCAACTCAGAGCTTAACCCCTGTGCCACCAAGGCTTCTAGCCAAGTTTACAAGCAACAAATTCTTTATCACCTTCACTAACTGCATTTGTGGCTTTAAATAATTGAAAAGGCCTGAATCCATCTCTCGTACTAAAGGAAGGTTGCATAAGACCCACATACGCTTGTTTCAAGGGACTTGTCCACTCCACTTAAAGGCACTCGTTAGAAAAGGCCTCATTCACAGCGGGACGGCCTGTAATCATGTTAGGGTAGAAAAGAAGGACATAAGAACATACGAAGTCCCCCTCAACTGTTTCCACACACTGTTAAAAATGGCAGGAGTTATTTTTTTCTGAAACAACGCAAACTTGAGCAGTAGCATTTCCACCACAAGAGCTGCCTAACTCAGCCTACAAACCTGCTCCAGGCCGGGCCCTGCCCTCCGCTCTGAGGGCCGGCCACCTCCCCAGCTGTTTGCTCAGCACAGACATCCACTCAGAGAACTGCCAGCCACAGACATCTCATCCCCAACACGGCCATCCGTGCCACTCGAGACCCTGCAGGAAAGGGCAGAGAGGCCAGGGGCCCAGGAAGCACAGGCAGGGCCTACATAGCCAGGGAGAAGCAGTATTAAAGGAAAAGCCAGCACGCAGACATACACACCTTTGTTTCTTTTATTAAACTGAGGAGAAATTCACCCAACACACATCCTAAAGTGTGCTGTTCAGACACCTAGTAAGCTTACAATGTTGTACAACCACTTCTAGCTGGTGCCAGAACATTCCATCAACCCAGAAGACCTAGCATTACACAGTCATTCTGTCACAGATGGAATAGGGTCCCTCCAAAACTCAGGTATGTAATGATAGAAAGTTACGATAGAAATGATAGAAGTTATGACATAATTCCCCACGATGTGACACACCAAGCAGGTGAAAGGGGATTAAGAATGGACTCTAATACTCCTTGGTCCCACCATAGGCCTGGAAAACAACCTAAGGACAGTTTCTCTAGGGTGTAGCCTGTAAGGTCTTTTATCTAAGGAGAGATAAAGGCAGAGGAAAGCTAGCAGAGGGGGGACATCTCAGCAGAGACACGAACAGCACATCATGAGTGGGGTGCTTCCTTCTGCACTCGGGCTCCTCTGTGAGGAAGGTCCCTGGCACCAGGGAAGTGAGGACACACGGAGACACAAGGAACTTAAGGGCTTAAAGATGCTGAAGGAGAAAATGACTCACATGCAGAGGGCTTTCCTCCAGAGCTGCACCCTCAATCTGGATTTATAACCTAATCTGTGTTATTGTTGTTGTTGTTGTGTGCTGTTGAGTTGCTGTGATTCATAGTGACCCTATGACCAACAGCTCTGAACCCTGCTCTATCCTGTGCCAATCTCATTGTCTCTGACAGCCTACTCCCATTACCCCATTGACGGAACCAGTCCATCTCATCGAGGGTCTTCCTCTCCTGCGCTGTTCCTCCACCCTCCCAAGCATGACGTCCCTCTCCAAGGATTGATCCTACCTTGCAACATGTCCAAAATATGTCAAACAGCTTCAGAATCCTTGCCTCCAAGGATGTGTCGTATACCTTTTCTAAACTGTAGGAGAATAAATGTGTTTGTGAAGGCTATCCACTTGTGGTAGGGAGCTCTGGTGGCCTAGTGGTAAGAAACCACACTGCAATCCCAAAGGCACATGGTTCAAATCCACTAGCTTCTTCATGGGAGAAGGATGGGCAATTCCTGTGTGATTAACTGCCTCTGAAAGCCTGCTGGAGGGGCAGCTATGGGTTGGTTCTGACTCGATGGTACACAATAATCAACAATCCACTTGTGGAGGCTGTTACAGAGGCCCTGGATAACTAAGACCTGCCTTTCACACTCTTCCTGCAACCTCTCATCTGCGTCCTGTGTGTCTCATTTGCCCATTCTGGATATTTCACATGAAAGGACTCAGACAGTGTGGGGCTCCCTTTTGTGTTCGGGCTTCTCTCATTTAGCACGATCTCTCCTTTCACTCATGTCACAGCAGGCCTCACTATTTCATTCTTTTTTTTTATTAAATTTTTTAATGAATATTTACAGAGATTTGGGGTTTTCATTCATTCATTGTTGCACTATTTTCTCTACCCTCCTCCCCAGTTCGTTCTTCTTGTTTTCCCCCCTTGAAAGTCTGTTTTAATTGTCCAATTGCCACAGTGCTTGTCAAAGCCAGTTCTGATTATTCATTCATTTTTATGTTTTGTTAGATGCCGCTGGTTCTGTTGCAAGGCACCCTGACTTCCGCCCAGCCTGCACCATCCTGACCCTCACCAGAGGGAGCTGTTAAACCCATCGTTACTGCCAACCTGTCTCCTTGAAGGTCTTCCTCTTTTTTGTCACCTTCTTACAATAGAATGTTGTTCTTATGTGTGGTCGAGTCTGAAATGACTCAAAACTGACCCTCTGGAAAGTGTTCAGAGGCAGTCAGTCGTGCGGAGGGGGGAGACTGCTCATCTTTCCCCCAAGGAGCAGCTGGTGGATTCGAACCACATGCCTCAGGCTGGTAGCACGATTCCTCCCCACTAAGCCACCAGAGCTTGCCTTGGATTTACAGTGAAAACTACAAGGGCAGACAATGATCGAGACCTCCTTGTCTTTGCCCAAGTCTCACATGATTTCCATCTTGTGACAGGGTTTTGCCCCTTTTCTGCGGCTGGCTTAGTGGAAAATATGTTCATCTTCTTTCTCAGACAGGTTGCCGCACCACGCAGAGCTGCCTTCCCCAGGTCTACTGTCTAGACCATTTGCTTATCCATTCACCTGCCGGCGGAAATTCGAGCTGTTTCCACCTTTTGGCTGGCAGGAGTAATGCTGCTGTAAATATCTGTGTGCACGTTTCTCTGCAGACATCTGTTTCCATTTCTCTTGAATGTGTACCCAAGAGTGGAAATGCTGGGTCCTGTGGTAATTCTGTGTTGCAGACCCTTCATTTTAAGCTATAAACACGTTGGAAGAAAGTCAAGAAACGGAGACTCAAGCCAAGAAGAAAAGTAACCTCGGGGCAGTGCCAGAAGTTAACAGCAAAAATGCCTCAGTGGTGAGGCGATGACGATTGAGATGGGTTTTTGGAGACACCGCCGCGGGTGGGGTACCTGGATCTTCCACATAAAGAGGAAAGGGGGCAGGAGCAGGACTTGTCCGGCCTGATGAGCCTCCGGCTCACCCTGGAGGACAATGACGTGCCCTGGGTCACCTGCTGGCTCCCAGTCCAAACCTGTATGGTCTCATCTCACTCTGCCTGCCACGCCATCCTCTCTGAAACTGTCTTCCCGGAAAACAAGACAGGGTCCCAAAACCAGCACCAGCACCTCTTACCACCAGGCCATCAGAGCCCCCTAGCACCACCACCTCTTGTACACCCCTCCTGAAAATTCACAGTCAGC